ATGCTTAACTTTCCTTCAGGATCTGTTTGATGAAGCTTTAAAAACTCCCTGAATGTCCTGTGGATATTTGGCAACCCTGCACATACAGTATGTTAATCAGCTGCCATTTCCTATTGTCTCTTTTATTACTTTTCAATTAATTTTAGGTAATTTTGCAGGACTATTATTACTCCTTATGGGGGACATTTATGTAGAAACAGCACCTGTGTGAGTCTGTTTGTGTGTGTGTGGGGGTGTGTGTGTGTGCATGCAATAATTCCAGATCACACGTGCCTTGGATTTATTGGCACATACCAATTTGGCTTTAATGAGATCGCACACCTCCAGGTAGGTGCTGCTTCATCCCCTGCTCAACTTGGGGTTCTCCCTCCATCTCTTCATTTGTCTGCTCTTATTACCATTTCATACACCTCCACCCCACCCATCTTCTCTCTGGCTCAACCAACACTGCTGCCTCCCCCATTTGATGAAAAACCAGAAAGGCTTTGTGAGGTTCATTAAGTCAGCATAGGAAATGTATTAAATAGCAGAATGGGGCTGGGAGCTATTGAGTGTTGACATAACCTTTCTTTATTTTTTTTTTCTATGCCGTGAGGCTTCATATGGAAAATGTGTGCATTACTCAGTCTCGTTAATAAGCAGTTGGATCAGTCAGAACAAGATCAGATGAAGGATTTGGCTTGCCTTTTTTCCTAAATAACGTTTGTAATTGTCTTAAAAGGGTGAGTGTCATTGACTGCTTGCAGGTAAATGTTTTATTTTATTTTATTTTATTTTTATCACTGCCATTGGGTCAAATGGCAAGTCTACACATTGTAAGTGTTTGCCAGTTTCGTCATGACCTCCTTTTACTTTTACACGTTTGATTTGGCAGGTTTTAACCAAGGAACTTAGACCCTAAAACCAAATATAGGAAAAAGAAATTAGCCATTAAATCAGACTGTTAGCGGCTTAAAAAATTAACCATGTTACAATAAGTTCAACAAACCACTGTATAAAAATGTCTTATAGTGTTGGCTTGTCAAACATGTTAGAGGGAAGGGCAGTGTGGTTGGTGTGCTGTTACAGTTTGTGTTCATTTCTGCCTCTTTCAGTAAGATCTGCACTGACTGCTGCACATGCATAATGCATGAGTGTGTCCATATGCACTTGGGCCATCATGCCTGCCCTTGTAGAAATGTATCAAGAGCTCAAATAATTACATTTAACTTTGTCTGCCTCCTTTATGTGCACATTTGCCTGTGATGATTGTTTAAGCTCAGTTAATTTTCATCAGTTGTTATTAGAGAGGTTTTTATGGTGCACGTGGGAATCTGTTTTTTAGACTTTCCTCCTTAGAACGTACAAATTGTTTCCGTGTAAAATGTTTATTTTTTTAGATTATTGTCAGGACTAAGGTAACATTTAGGAATACAGAAAATACTGTATTTTGCAAAGATGACTCTCAGCTTGAAATTGTATTTTTATTTTATTTTATATACATTACTTTTTTTTATTATTCCCCTTATGAGTTATAGACCAAAATGCATTCAGGTTTTACAAAACAGATTTTACTTTTTTTTTTTTTTTACAAATTAAGTGTTTATTTATTTATTTATTTATTTGTTATCATGTTACCACCCTTTTAAGGGTTTAAAGGTTTTAAGGAAGTGATTTTATTTTTATGTTCACCACTCCCAACTCTTACCTTAACACATATGTGTCAAACTCAAGGCCCGGGGGCCAAACGTGGCCCTTGCTGACGCCTTATCTGGCCCCCAAGATGATATGTGAAATGTCAAATATTTATATCTCTTGATTTTTTTTCAGTAATCTTTCATTAAGAAGTCAAAAACATAACAGAGAACATCAAATGAGACCAATCAAACTCTTGTTGAGGAACCTGTGACCAAGAAAAGATGTTGGGTATCTGATTTGAGTTAATGCAGTTTTTGAAATTGGACCTTAGTTAGAAAAGGTTCTAAATTTGGCCTTTTTGTGTAGGTGAGTTTGACACGCTTAACAGATTATTTGAAATCCGATTTGTTAATTCAACAGTAAAAGTGTGTTAAAACACAAAAAAATTCTGAAGTAGATAAAGATATCCTTCAGTCATCTAAGAAACAAAGAAGGTACAAGATTGTTTGGAGTTTGGATGCAAGTCAGAAGCAATGAACCAACGTTTGAACCAAACTTTTAGTATTTGAGCACCATAGTGTTTAAAATGTGTCCAAGTTGAATTAACAAATTTGTGGCAATGTGCTGAAATCACATTTTGTAAACAATCTAAGCACATACAGTTTGATAACACACAAAATAGCAGAAGTCCAGTAAACTCTTTGCTGGAGTTTGGTTGTCTATCAGAAACAATGAACAGTCTGAATCAAAGGTGGGGTGAGCTTAAGAACAAGTTATCCGTGTGTATTTCAACATGACTCTTCCAAGAGAGTGGACCACGGGCTTTCTGTCCACTTCATATATGAAAAATCTCTGATGGGGGAGATCTCCATCCACCACACGTGGTTCTTTAGCGCCCCTCGGAGAGAAAGCCGGTAATCGCAGATGACTCTCCTGGGGAGCGCGCGCGCAATTCATCAGTCAGGGAAAGTCAGGACACTGCTAGATCTGGCTTAAGGTTTCATTCTTGACAAACCACTGCAGACAGACACAGGCAGATCATATGACTCAGTGGAACTGATCATCACTGCCACTTTCAATACAAATAAATGCAGCCTATTGGGGAAATAAATACCCCTTCTCCCCCCCCCTCCTCCTCCTCCTCCTCCTCCTCCTCCTTCTCTCATGTCCCAGCTCAACTCAAGGAGAGAAGGAACAGCTTGGTGATGTTTAGGGAAGAGAGTGAGCTTCGGTTGAGCTGCAGATTTAATAAAGCTTTAAAAACATTTTTAGTTTCATTCACTGTGAGGCAGCATCACTCCGTGCCCATCTTTCAAGCAAGCATCATTCAATTAAAATGCAATTCTCCTCGCCCCCATGCGCGGATATTTAATTAGACTGGGGAGCACAGCTTCCAGTGTATTGTATTTATTTATATATTTATGTATTTTATTATTATTATTTTGCATTGCTTTTCGGATTTCACCTCTGAGGCATATTTTCACTGTGTTGCTCGTTGGTTAAACAAGGGCATGTATCCATTTGTTAATTGATACAATTACGCATTATGCGCATTGGTCACGTAGGTCTCCGGGCGCGCATCAATCACTTTTCTATTGACCTGCCAAAAACGCTTCTAACAGTTCCTGCTGGGACTGCCCCTCTCTCTAATAGAGAAAGATAGAAACATCATCATCATCATCATTAACTCCGGGGTGGACGTCTGGCCACGAAAGGCAGAGGCGCACAGAAGTTGGGAATAAATGAACAAACACAAATGCATGTACTAACTTCAGGTTTTGTTTTCATGCGTGTCAAATTAAATAAAGACATCTGTTTTGAAGGAAAGATACAGGAAGCTGAGTGGTTCTTTTTTTTTTTTTTTTTTTTTTCCTGTGGTGTATAAAACAAAACTAAAGGGAAAAAATCAGATTAATTAACTTTACAGTTAAATGAGTTTAAACAGAGACAACAAAACTCCAAAGGAAGAAAAAAAAGAAGAAAAAGAAGGAGTACAGTGCACCTTAAGGAAAGCCTGCTCTGGATGTGATTGGCATAGACATTATTCCATCCTTGGTACCCTGCCGTTCCGGGATTACAGTGACGTCACGCTGATACCCCTTGCATGGGTGAATGCTAAAGAACTATAGAGCCACAAATAATAGCACAAGCAGAGTCCATATCTTGGAAGACTTACTTATCCTTTAAGCCTCCTTCAGCCAACATAACATTTTTTTTCCCACTTAATGACGCTTAACTTCATTTTTTTATCGGATTCAAAAAGGGGGATTATTCACTCATATAAAACAATCTGCAGCTGGTGCCATCCTAAAGTCTCCCTCCTTTGAGTGAAGTCATCTATTATTGAGCGCAAGGCCGTGCGTGGAAATGTGTGGAAGACGATGGATCTGAAGTAGATTTGGTTGCAATCGATCCAGGGTGAAGAATATTCCTGATGGTAACAAAGGAAGCAGCGATGTCTTTCTCGCAGTTTGGATACCCTTACAATGCAACTTCACAGGTAAGACTCTGATTTTATTTAGTTTGTATCCAAACTAATGAGTTTTTGCAGAATTTCTTTAATTCTGGTTATCAGAAGACTTTTCCTCAACTCGAAACTCTGATAACTGAATTAGCACTGACAGTAGTTTTTGCGCTTTGCTCTTGTTGTTAAACCAAATATTGATACACACACCCTCACACACACACACGTGTCCAATTACACTGAATAATGAATGAACTCACGTGCTTTTCTGATGACAATAGGAATGAATGTCACCTACTGAAGACACTTGGGACAGTTATAAATGATTTGCATCTTTAAAAAAAAAATCATATAACCTGAGAGATGTGATTCAGCTCATTTTATTGTTTTAAAGGCAGATTATTGTATGGTTAATTTTCAGAGACAGTTGAAGTTTGAAGAAGTTCAGATCGATGAGGGAACCAAAGTTGCTCTTTAAACAAAAGTTACCCACCAAGTTTCTGTTGGATATTATTTAATCCTTCAGCTGAATGAGTTTTACATGTTGATTATTTTAATCACAGGTGAAGAGTTAAGTCCGAAGCAAACTTTTATTTATTTGTGTTGCAATTATAGTTTTAAAGGGGGGGTGGGGAAAGGAGCATTTTTCTTTTGGCGCAAGAATTACGCACACCATTTTCTCCTTTTATTATCATCCGGCATATAAAGACATGATTTGCTTTTTTAAAATAACGATCTGAAAGGTGACTTACCTTAAACTAATACAGGTGAAACGTTAATAGTGAGACATTTTATTCATGATAACAAAATAAAACAAAGTGCATTTAGGATTTAAAAAAAAAACAACCTTGCCAATACATATATTTTTTTTAAAAAGTCTTCTTTTTTAATCGTAGCGCACACAGAGACACCCACAGAGCTGAATGACCATCTCTGTCCACGATTCTCTTCATGCAGTTTTTCGTGTCGGCAAACCCCAGTTCCACTTGCTGCGATTCGATTTCCAGGTCGGTGTCTGACGGGACGGGCGGCTCTCAGCCCGCCGCCTCCTTCTACTGCCCGTCCTACGAGAACCGGCTCCTGGCGAGCAGCCGGACGGAGCTGAACGCAGCGCTGGGGGTGTACAGCTCTCCGTACGCAGCGGCGGCCACAGCCAGCCAGAACTACGCCAACTACTTCCCCTACAGCACCGACCCATCCGCGATCTACTCCTCTCTGGTGGGCTTCCCTGATGCGCACAAAAAAAAAAAAAGGGGGGGGGGGTTGATCGATCAGGCAGCGTTTATCAATTTGTCTCTGCAAACACAAGCGGCTTGTCACCCAGCTGCCATTCTTATTACGTCCTGCATTATTACAGAAAATAAATAAATACATAAAAATAAGATGGAACAAGTCCACACACTTGGATTGAACTCACCTAAATCATCCATATCCCTCGTCATTCTTTAATGTGGAAGTAACTGTTACCAAACTTTGACTAAAGTCAAAATAACTGATAAAGCACTGGGTGTTGTACAGCTGTAGCCATACTGGAAGTGTTCTGTTTGATGTAAATACACTTTTTGGACATATATTTTGTATATTTAATGCCATAAAATAATGTGGAAAGATCTAATATGGCACAATTTTGGGCAATGTTGCTGCATTTAGTTTTGTAAAACTTGAAACATCCATTCATTTAATACAACAAATTATACCAATATATGTGGATGATTTGCTTGACTTTTACATTGACCAAAACCATAATAAATTTAAAAAAGTATTGATGAGATCAGTTCTGAAAATCAGGAAACAAGTTCAAGCTTATAACAAACTGTCTTTATATTACAGAACCCACAATATGACATTAAGGACAGCACGGGCACTTTGCACTCTGGCATTACTCAAACGGCTGCTTACTATCCCTACGATCATTGTCTAGGACAGTATCAATATGACAGGTAAGCTGATCATTTATTTTGTTGTTGTTTATTTGATTTTTAATTATAGGTTGTATAAACTCACTAAAAGTGGAAAACTGAGTATTTCACTCAAAGGGGTTTTGCCAAATTTTTTCGTGTTTCAAGTGTAAACCTAAAACCAGAATGAAATGAAACATTTCACTCAGCTCTGACTGCAAGTGTGTCCCGTTGCAGATACGGGACAGTGGACTTTAATGGCACAGCTCGGAGAAAGAACGCCACACGTGAGACCACCAGCACTTTGAAAACATGGCTGTACGAGCATCGCAAGAACCCCTATCCCACCAAGGGTGAAAAAATTATGCTGGCCATCATCACTAAAATGACACTCACCCAGGTGTCAACGTGGTTCGCTAATGCCAGGAGGAGGCTAAAGAAGGAGAATAAGATGACTTGGTCCCCGAAGAATAAGGCTAACGACGACCGGAAGGAGGATCTTAACAAGAGCGACCAAGACGGTGTCACCAAAGGTACCATCATCTGTCCACTTTGTCGGAAGAAAGTTTATTATTTTTACTTGAAGTAAAATTAATAAAAAGCGTTTTATGAATTAATAGTAGCAGTTATTTTCATCCAGGTTCCCCTGATTGCAAGGAGGAGAAGGATCTGCACTTGAGTGACTTGGAGGACATGGACGAGGACGACTGCGACAAGCTGGACAGCGACTGTGAAAAGGTGGCAGCAGATGAGCAGGAGCTCCAAAGAGCCATGGCCGTGTCCGAAGCTCCTCAAAAAAGAGACTGCAGCTCCGAGCTGCACCTGAGTTTAAGCAACAGCTTCCACTCATTCCCCTGCGCAATCAAAGGTGTCACCACCCTCCCCCCTCTCCCATCCGATTTCCTGGATCCTGTTGTGTCCAAGGCATCCGCTTTGAGCAGCCCGTCAGCTGGAACAGTGTCCCTGTCTCATTTTGAAGCATCAGACAAGCCACGAATTTGGTCTATCGCTCGTACAGCGGCTTCCGGGGTCATATTGAACCCCCAGCAGCATGACTTAGAGCTGAGGACAGGGAGCTTAACTGGAGACTGCCAGCTACAGAGCACCAGACTTTCTGGGGCTTCCGCTGGACAATGTGGGACAAGAGGCCTCCATGATTCTGGCAGCACTGAGAGTTCATTCACTGAAGGCTCGTCCTTGCACTCCAAAGTTTATGGCACAAGCAACTACAATCACAAGGGCCTTCATCTTCACAGTTCATCCTACGCTGCTGTCCCAGACACGTGCCAGTACCCAAGTCTTGAAGGTATGACTGTCTCTAAATTTAGGTTTTCATCAGTTCATTCTGAAGCATTACCAATAACTGGTGACCATTAATGCATATGTATTTTTATTGTGTAACTGGAAAAAAAAACAAAAAACATTGTCAATGTTCAGATGAAAACACTTTCTACCAACTTGACCTTGACACAGTTCTCTTGAAATGTGCTTTTATTTGGGTCTGCAGCATTCTCTGGAGGCAAAGTGGAGATTCAGTCGACTGACCTCAGCGAGGCCTGTGGGACTGTGCAGGATGACAAGGTCACTGCATTCAGACCAGTCATGAAGAGGTGAAGCAGGTGAGAGTCTGCACTGAACTGGAAGAAGCACACACACATGCACACGAAGCAGGACAATTTGCAAGGAAAAAATAGGTTTAGTAAATAGCTTATTCATTTGCATTTTAGTTAAATTAGCTGCTATAAAATTGGTTATTGAGAAGCCACTAATGCACATAATGTCACTAAGCTTGTATTGCAAAATATAATTTAGAAATACCATATTTTTTGGCCTATAAAGCGCACCGGATTATAAGGCATAATACCAAAGTCAAACTTTATTCAACTCATTCACAACAACCACATAAAAGTGGTTCTAGGTCAGTAAGCACAATCAGAATTAATGCATAAGGTGCACCTGATTTTAAGGCTCACTGTCGATTTCTGAGAAAATTAAAGGATTTTAAGTGCGCCTTATAGTCCGAAAAATACGGTATGTAAGAAAATGTTTATATGCTGTTGCAGCAAACTTCATTTGCAACTATGTATATGTTTTTATTATTTAAAACTGCTTATTTTGTGTGTCCCTGTCTTTTTTTTTTTCCTCATAGGTATAACTGAAGTTTGAGTAACAATAAAAAGGAGACATTTCTTATGCACTAAAGGACACAATGACCCAGCTGCTGCCTCAGCCTGACACAGAAGGACTCTACTTGGCGATGCTGCAGTGAAATATGTCAAACTGCTGGACTGGACTGTCATTTTGCACAACATTGAATTTTATAGAAAAAATGACTTTATGCAAAAACAAACAAACAAAAAAAGGAACAAACAAACAAACAAACAAAAACAGAATTCTAAATGCTAAATATTGGCCCAACTCTGTGTATGGCAATTGTGGTGTGTGTGATTTTTAATTATTTATGTGTGTATTTATTATTTTATGTCAACTATTTGAATATTATTTATTGTGCTTATTGATTGCATTTGTGTTACCTTTAGGTCATTTTAAAATTACTTTTTATTGCTGTCTTTCTGTGTTATTTTACTTAATGTCAAACAGGAATTCTTGCTAGACTTCTAGCTGTCTATAAAGGACTGGATCCGCTATTTTTTTTGCGCGTAACGTCAGATGTTTGTCATCGTGTTAAACTATAAAACCCACTCCTTTTCCTCAGTGTTTGCAGAACATTTTCTAATACATCTGTTTTTTTTTCTTTTTTTTTTTTCTTCTAAGAACATTTGGTGCCATGTTATTTATAGAGCAAAAACCAGCCGATTATAAAACATTTGCAGATAAGCATTTGATCAAAGTTTCTTATCTGGACTGTAAAGAGACTGATGCAGCTCTGATGGGAGGTCATAATTCAGAGTAGAGACGTGAGTGAAATCCACAAGTCATGGAAGAAAAGGGGACATCCGCTCTCTATTGTCGGCATCTAATCAGAAGTGGCATCAAACACTTTGCTGCTCTTCGGGCCGAGCAGCGGGGGCAGGGACGGAGGATGAATGCAGCTTTTGTCCCCTGTGTAGTGAGCTGCTGCACTAACTTAATATTGTGTTAATTTAAAAGGTCATTTGTAGGATCAAACCCAGCAGAGAGGTTCACATGGCCCGTCAGAGGCCCTTTGATTTGGCGGTTTTGCTTTTGGACCATCTTGTTATGAGCATAACTCTTCCCCTCCTGCAGACAGATGCAATCAGATGATCACTGTAGTAGATGATCCGTGTTGACACACCAAGCAAATATATAATAAATTAAATCAAATACTTCCAAATGAAGGGTGTAAAGTATTAATTGCTCTTTGAACATTGATTATTGATGAAATATTTGACAACTTTCCAAAATATATGTATCAAACTTGATAATCTGAGCTATTTGATTTACAAAATATTTACAGAAGTTGCAGATTTTTCACCAAAAACATGAAGCAGAAGTAACCACAAAATGCAATTTTAATGCTATCAGACATATCCTAATTTCCTTTTTTAACCTTCTGTCACTAAGTTATGCCTCAACATCAGCACATATTAAGATTCTGAGTAAATTTGAATCCAGACTTGCAAACAGCCCCACTTAAATGTCAGTTCGGCTCATATCAGAGGGATTATGCTTTAAAAAAAAAGAAAAGTATTTTCAGGGCCGATCTGGCTCAGATCTGAGGTGTTGCTGGTTCTCTTGTGCATCCTTGGCCAATGAGGGAGCTGTCAGGAAATGCACAGAGTCTGGCGCATTAATTCAGAAGAATCTATGCAATGAGGATGATGAAGGTCAGGAGCAATAATGTGGACCTGCTCTGAAAAGTTCTCCCAGTTCTGTCCCTCCTGTATTTATATGAAACCCCAACACGGATTCATATGAAGTGAAAGGCAATTTTATAACAAGACAGATACAAAAAGACTATTTTAATACAATTATCTAAATCTCCCATAAAGATTGACCTGTTAGTGGCACTAAAGTGGTGGTGAAAAAAAAAAAACACTGAAGTGCTCACAGAAAGTTACCTGTGGTCACTATGATGACATTATCGAACTCATGGCTGAACAAACACGCATGGCGTAATGAAATCACCATGGCAACAATTGCTCAAAAAGTGTGGGAAGAAGAAGGAATATTTGCCTCTTTTTTGAGCCAGAGGTGATATAAGGCTTGATCTGGACAAGCTGGTAACCATTTCAACAATATTCGCCCATGACTCCTGAATGCCCCACATTAAAATGTTGGGGTGGTATCAAATATTCAACACTAATTTTGATTAAATGGCAGGCTGTCAAGAAAAGCTGCCTTATGCTGTTGAAGGTAATGATGCATGCGCAATGGGATTTTACCACCATGTCCATGTTACCTCAGGGAAAGCAAAAGCTATAATAATGGCTGTGATGGGCTCATATAGCAACGTGTTCCTGGATCAGCTAACAAGTCAATTAAAATGTCCAATACACAGTGTTTTATAAGGAGGATGGACCATATATGAGGCTACAGCAACTGCACAAGCAAAGGTTGAAGTCTTTTTATTTTAAGCATCAGTGCAGTAGTAAGAAAATGATTTGTTTAAAACGCGTGAGCAAAATCCCTGACAGTGAATGTAAGCATCAGTAAATAGGCATTTGTTGTTGCCGGATGGAGACAGGGTGGGAGGGGGCTAGCACAAGATTTGCTATTTGTCTGACATGTTTTAATCTAAGGCGAGACATGAAATCTGTGACAAACGACAATGTAACAGAAAAATAAGTTCCTTAGGTAGCCTATATGCACAACCAAATCTCCCTAATACATGCCTTTCTCTTGGTAAATTACTTTTTTTTTCATTGTAGGGAGGGAGGCTGTGAGAGCATGTTTTGCATAATCCAAAACAGATTTTAGATAATCTGTGAATGAGGCACAAAAATGCAAAAATGAAAGGGGGGAAGAAAAAAAAAAGCAACGATAAACATGAATAATTAAATTGGTTTGACAACTTTAATCTGAGACCATCCCTCATATGCATGTTTACATTCCGTCTAATCACACTCCTTACTACTCACACACACACACACACACACACACCACGCCCCCTACTTAAATCACCATACACCATGGCCAAGTTGCTGCCTGCACCATGTGCTCTTTTCAAGTCAACAGGCCAACTGACTGTCAGAAATGACAGCTGCTACGTTGAGTCAAAGTTTGGAATGCACGACGGGAAAGGAGACAAAGACTAACGATTAAGTCTAATTAAATTCATTTTACACATTTCTGAATAGAACAATAGATTCAAGTCAACTTTATTTATAAAGCACATTCACAACAGCAGCTGTTAACTTTTTTTTTTCTTCTTTCGGCTGCTCCCTTCTTCAGGGGTCACCACAGTGAAATAAATGGCATAAAGACTTGGCAATTGTGTTTATGTGGGATGCCCTTCCTGATGCAACCACATATCACAGAGCTACCACAGCCCTATGTGTGGAGCAGAGAGCTGCCATCTAGGACACCCGGGGTAGCAGCTGGTAGGGGTTAAGGGCCTTGCTCAAGGGCCCAGAGTGGGGCAAATGACAGTGGAGACAGGTGTGGGTGTTTCACCTATCCCACCCACATTTTGATGTCTGTACGACAGCTCAGTGGTTAGCACTGTTGCCTCACAAAAATAAGGTCCTGGGTTCAATCCCCGGTTGGAATTGGGATCTTTTTGTGTGGAGTTTGCATGTTCTTGTCGTGCTTGCATGGGTTTTCTGCAGGTACTCCGGTTTCCTCCCACAGACCAAAAAACATTCACGTTAGGCTGCCTTCACGTCCAGGCCTCCCTTGCAAAAGAGATATGTGATCTCAATGGGATTTGCCTGGTTAAATAAAGCGTAATAAATAATAAACAAGGAGTTGAACCAGCAACCTTCTGATCACAGGCCCACCTCCATGCCACCACTCCCTAAAACAGCAGCTGTTCCATCCATTATCTTTACTTTCTTTTTCCTTTTTGGGTCACGGGGGTCACTGGTGCCCATGTCCAGCCATCACTGTGCGAGAGGCTTGGTGTACCCTTACCAAAGTGCTTATATTAGTATTTATCAGTTTTGTTATGCAATATTGAGCAGTATCTCAATAATTTCATCTACAGTTTCACTGACAGTTTTAAAATTCAATTATACATTAACACTTCGATAAGTGCTGGCAAGCTTACTGTCAGGAATGTAAACACAGACGTTCCTTCTTGAATACATATGAAGCAATAATTCATGCATGTATCACAGTTGCAGAGAAAATAACAAACACATTATAAAATGTGCTTGATTTATGTTGTTGTTTTTTTTGTTTTTGTTGTTGTTTGTTTGTTTCATTTTCTCTATCCGCTTTCATGAGGCGCTCGGCACCGGCCTCACAATGAGTTTGTTGTACGATGAGAAGCTAAAGGTCAATGAGGGGTTAACTCCTGACAAAGCACCGTCAAGAACATCCATCACATGTGTGCACTTTTTATTTATGCCCCCACCTAATGAGCATGTGCCCGCCATATAAAAGAATATGAATTATTAGAACGCTATATCAATGGCCTCTTTGTATAAGTAGGAGCCATAATAACAACAACAACACAGCAAACAATAATTTGCCCTCCGGTCTGACGAAAGAGCCAGCATGGAGGTGCCATTTGATGTGTCCCACGCTGGGCAGCTAAGGCTCATAAAACAAAGTCTTTGTACCAATGGCTCAGGGTTCACATGAGGGGGACAATATACACAGTTCATTACATTTTGTCAAAAGGCGCAATGAAATGTGTGTGGGACATTGTTTCTGTGCATGTCTCTCTCCATGGAATTTCTGATTGCTGATGTTGCTACAAGGTCTCTGCTAATGAGTTTTGCCAAAGACAATTACAGACTTGGTGAAACGGACAGAGAGGGATGAAAAGCTGGCTTTGTGCAGTTTGGGTAGATGTTGCACCGCGACCCCTGCTTCTTACTCTAACCTGCATTTGACCCCTGCTTCATGTCCAAACATCCAGGCCTCACCTCCATCATCTGTGACGCATTGAACAGAGAGGTCTGCTCCTGCTACCGGAGGAGATTTGGAGCATGGCATAAAGTAACATTAGTACTGCTGCCATTTTCCCAGGGCTTATTCTGTTCTAGACCTTATTCCTTTATATAGTTTGCTCTGTGTCTGCACAGGCAATGTTGAATGTGTGGGAATAAGAACCTTTGACTTAAATGACA